TATTATGGATGATATTGGTCGCGAAAGCCTACGTGTTAAGCTCCATGCGGATCAGCACTACAGTCGGGATTTAACGCAGGAACTTGTTTGCTGCGAGGCGCAAGTGTTACCGCTGCGCCACCGCGTGGCCCACGCTTAGGAAGGGTAGTGAAGATCCCCCATGCAGCTCGGACGGGGTTCATAATGGCTATGTCAGAGCTCTGAGCCAACACTGCTGCTGAGAACCAGGGTTTTCATCCAGGTACCAGCCACTCCTGTTGAAGCCAGGGCCCCCATAGGAAACCACGCCCTCATAGGAGAAGTTGTTGGGCTAAGTCGTGTGGCTAATGACCGCGCAATAACAAATGTCATTTTTGGTTTGGAGCTAAATTAACCGAGCTCAGCTCTAAGGGAGAGTTCCTACCAAGTTTCAAGTTGAATTAGTTTAATCAGATGAGAACTCAAAGGTAACTAATTCGCAAGAGTGATCTGGGACAACGGTCGGCCAGTTGGGGTGACGATTGTTGCGTGCAATCCAAATTGTAGTCATTTGCGGGTCATTTTTTTACTGTCAAATGTGGACCCTAAAAAAGGCACACAAATTGCACACTCTTACGATTGCCACCACATCGTCTTTCACGCCTATTGTGAAGCAGATGGCACATATCTGTATGGTAATTCCACAAGTGCGGGTTTATACATTCAAAACTCCACAGTCGACAGGCGGGCGCGTGTCCACCCCACATGACCCTCTCTTTACCTCGTGACTCTTAGTCGTATCGCGATATAACCCTGGCATGTCATCTACTGTGAGAGCGGCAGCGACCCTTAGAGAGAGGTGATGGGGTTATTTTCCTGCCCTTTACCACTCGATATTAACAGCCCGAGCCTTGTTACTGATGCCAACTCACGGGTTTTTGCTGGTCTGGTTAATGTCTCCCGACAGATCTGCAAGAGGCGTGCGAGTTCGACGTCTGCCAAATCCCCCGAAAGTACCACTCCCTCCAGAACTGAGCCGCCTCCAGGCACGGCGCCCTCCTTCCTCCTTCCCGTTCGCCGCCGCCCCCTCGCTGTGCCACAGGGCTCGGTCCGCACGCACAATCGACCAAGTTCAAATCCTGTCCAGAGGTTGACACAGGCCATCGTGCCATACCAAGGTTCTTAAAATGAGCGTCACTTTGCGCTAAACAAACATGGGTCATCCCATTAAAAGGATGGGTTCCCACAAATAGATGTGTGGAACTTGCACTTTCGTAAAGGTTTTTGGGTTAGATCATACCGATGTGCTGAATAGCTAATCGACACGTTTGTAAATACTGTGGGTGTACTCGCCATCACACCAATGTGCTGAAGTAATAGCTCATTGGCAGGTTTCGTTTCTGGTGACAAAACCTTACTAATGGGTTGTGTCGGGTGGTGGTGGTGATTTAACAATACATTTATATTTGGATGCTCTAACCCAACAACCTTTATGAATAATATTGGTCGTGAAAACCTACGTGTTAAATTGGAATTGACACTGCTAGCTATTTCGTATTGATAAGTCCCAACCAGTGTAAGTCTGGCATGCATATTCCATAATGAATACACCCCAATTTTCCCAATGCAATTTAAAATAATTTGACGGAGGTCTTGCACCAGTGATGCAAATTCCACTTCATTATGATGGTGCCTATATATATGTCGGGAAATGACAGAAAGTGTGATAGGGCGAACTTGACTGTGGCTTCGAATAAGAACTGTGGCATGACGATTGTATTGCCTCTCACTCTGCTGACCCAGCTGTATCCTGACCCATGCCGATTCAACCTTCGTACAGTCAACACTTTTAGCTGCCAGTGATTGGAGGCTCGGTTTCTTTGCTGTACACCCGCCGCCCCACACGCTGTGTGTACACAGCAGCAACAGCAGCCTGCACCACTCTTTGTTGTACGACTGAAGATTGTAGTCTTGACAGCACACGTGTCAAGCTTGATGTGGAGCCTCATCAGACTGGATAGACAGCAGCTCCTCACACATGGAGGCATGATTGGTGAACGCCAGCACTGCAGCCTGCGCAATTCATCAAACTCTAACGGCGGAGAGTGGCTTACGTTGAACTATTTAAGATCAAGCAAATTCTTTTTTTTTTAAGATGCAACTTCATGAGATAACAAGTTTACCCTCACGTGCAATTTCCCCTTCATTTTGCAAATCACTTATCTCTGTGGAGTCAACGTAACACAGCCGGTGTCATCGGACAACGCTAAACTCTTACATGCAACGCTGAATCCTCGGTGTGTAATCCTGCAAGGTTAATAACACAGCAATGTAAATGAAATCCTTTCGACGAAACTGTTGTCTGCATTCCTTTTTTTGCTTGTGCGGTTTCTTTACTGAAAAGTGTAAACAGCACAGAACGTCACGACGACCTCCTCGCAACCCCTGTACAGGGGGACTCGATCTGTACAGGGGTTGTGAGGAGGCGAGTCCTGTACAGCACTCCCTCCGCATTACACTTCCTGCTCTCACCTGCAATGGAATATGCCCCGACCTAGCAGAATCGGAATCTTAATTTAGACTGGAAAAATCCGATGAGCTATGAAGTAATTTTTTTTTACAGATGTCCAGTAGGGGCGGGTCAGAACGTGACAACAACAAACAGTACAACAACTGATTGGGAGTGCAAAGTACAATATAAGAAAGCTAAACAAGTCACTACATATAATTGAAATATATTGTAATAAATTACATGTAAGGCGCCTAATGTTTCATGGTGCCCAAGTACAAATAACGAAAGTACATCAATTCCTCGCAATTTTTCAACACCAAATGCAATTTTGGGAAAAGCGGCAAAACATAGAACAATCCCAGACCAGAGCAAGACAACACGCAGTCGCTCAATAGAATTGCACATTAAAATTGAGCCATCAACTCGGATTCAGGAATGTTCACCGTAAAACTCCTATGCCCAGCGCCAGTACCAAACCACTGAGGCTGGACATGAAATCTCACATAGAGCCATGTTGCCCACGTGCACAGATAACTCTGATCTCTGTAGGGCGTAGTCTCTGCTCCTAGGACGTGGTCTCGACCCCGCAAAGCTAGTACAGGCAGTCATCGACTTATGAACACCCGACTTACGAACACCCGACTTTCGAACCATCTTCCATGAAATATGCTCTTTTAAACATTGACTTCAAACACGAACTCGTGCATGTGTAGTGGATTAAATTCAGGCGCACACTGGAACTTTGGAGGCAACAATCTTTATTAGCTAACCAAACGGGTAACCGTTAACATTACCAGGATAACGACATGGGGTGATAGCCACCGTTCCTAACTTATCTAATACACGGGGATACTCCATCACTGGACCAGGACAGCTCCACTAGCGGAGACCGGAGACCGAGGATCGTGGTCGGTGGCTTCATTCCCAGAGTTGACCCAGCAGACCAGCCCGGCTCTCCGTCCACACCCCGCTTATAAACCACTCCAGCGTGGCCGGCTCCGCCCCAGGCCACGCCCCCCTTCCCGATCCTTCGGGAAGGCCTGAGCCCCCAACCACGTGACCCCCCTGGGGCCCCTGGCCCCCCTTTATCCGGTCACTGTCCTGTTGGGTTCACGCAGCGTGTCACGGCCCGACACGACCTCCGTGACACCTGCCGACAGCCCCCACACCGAGCCAACACAGTAGTGTCGTCCTACTACACTACACTTGAAAACTGAACCGTGGGACTATGATGTTCAGTGAAACGATCCTCCGCGAAATGTCGTCAGCTTCGCGCTGGGAGTGTTTGCGCATGTGTGTGAAAGTGACAGCAAAGGTCTCACTCCGAATCAGTCGAGCGGCATCTTTTCATCGGCTGTGTAACGTTAAATTTCGATTTAAAGCTTTCGTGACTGCAAGGATTCATCTTCTTTGGTTCTTTCGGTAAAGTCACGTAGTGTAACGTTGTGTGGAAGCTACCTGGCATGTCGTTCCACACGAAGCTTTGGCTCTTCTCGGCCACACTCATGCCCTCCATTCTCTACGCTTGTGAAACGTGGACTCTTGTAATGGAACATCTGTGCCGGTTAGAAACATTCAGGCTGGCCTGCCTACAATCTATGCTGAGTTTAACCTGGCTGGATTGTGTGAGCTCACAATTCTGGTTAATTGATTCTGCACTTGCTCTATTACTATAGTAACTTTTATGAACGACTGGGTGTTTAAATAATAGTTTTATTATACTTAGGGCCCCTTTATAACGTATGCTGCAGGCCCCGCACTAGCTTAATCCGCCACTGAAGGAGGTATATTGTCTGTTTAGTTATTCCGCTCAATGAGTTTGTAACTCATAATACAGATTCTTTGTTTTGGGTGAGATCGCGTAAATATAAATGTGTCGTTAAGCCCGCCACCACCCGACACAGCCAAATGAGTAAGGTTTGTCAAGTAAACAGAACGTGACAATTCGTTACTCAGTAGAGCAACACCGGTTGTGTCGGAGAGCAATTCCACAACATTTACAATCTGAGTACGACGTTTCGGCCAGTAATTGCAAGCGGCATCATCAGGCGGCAGCCAGAATTGTGCTGGGAGTTTGTAACTTCGCGCGGGTCGCAGCGCGCATGCGCAGATCGCTCATGCCCCCCCCCCCCCCCTGACACCCCCGCTGCACATTTCGCAATCGCGTTTCTCGGATAGATGGGGCCGCGCGGCTTCCGTCTCCGGGGTTCACACAGCCGAGGTTACTCATTCATAGGGAGAGCGTGAGGGAGAGTGTGAGGGAGATAGGGAGAGCGTGAGGGGAGCGTGAGGAGAGCGTGAGGGAGAGCGTGAGGGGAGCGTGAGGGAGATAGGGAGAGCGTGAGGGGAGCGTGAGGGGGAGCGTGAGGGAGATAGGGAGAGCGTGAGGGGTGCGTGAGGGAGAGCGTGAGGGAGATAGGGAGAGCGTGAGGGAGAGCGATAGGGAGAGAGTGAGGGGAGCGTGAGGGAGAGCGTGAGGGAGATAGGGAGAGCGTGAGGGGTGCGTGAGGGAGAGCGTGAGAGAGTGAGGGGAGCGTGAGAGAGTGAGGGCAGTAAGGGAGAGAGCGTGAGGGGTCAGAGTGACAGAAGAGGGAGAGAGTGAGAGGCGGGCATGAAGTGAAGGAGAGTGTTTGCCCCGTGTCGCCGTGAGCAGCAAGAGGAGGATGGCGGCGTGAGAGGCCGCGGAGGTAACCCGAGATCAGCTCATTCACATCAGCACCATCCGCCTTGGTCAATCCACTGCTAGATGAAGGCCTCCCTTCCTCAGCCGTCGCCTCCCCCCCAACGATCCCGAGACGTAAACATCCACCACCCCAGACTCCCGTTGCCCGCGAGCTGATTCCATATTGATTACAGGCTGTCATCACAACTTATAATCGCGCCTTTCATACAATCAAAGGGCGCTTTACGTCAATGGGAGGCAACATGTTCAGGACTCTGATGTCAATGTCGAGGTTTGCTGCTGCTGCCCACAACAGAGAGGGCACCCACAAAGCTGGGAACCCACACGGTTTAACCCCGTAAACTTGCACAGGGAAGGTCGAGTTTCCAGGGCACCAATAAAACACTCAGTTTGTGTTTCTGCCTTGAGGATGGGACTTTGTAGGATGAACGTTGAGATGTACAAGGACACGGGGTGACCAATGAGGTCTGAATTGGTCTGTGATAAGGTAGGGCACTGATAAGGGGTTGACAGGTCGTTTTAAGGTGCCTTTCCTCTACAAGGCCAATCGGTTCCAAAGACAATGCATAATAACAACCATCAAGACATGTTTGCATGTTTCGCCAACCGTGTCGTTAATGCAGACTTGATCCCTTGCAAAAAAAATGTTTCTATTTCGTGTTTGTACATCTCAACACCTGTTTTATTATTCTTGGTTAAAGCTAATTTCTTATTTTTAATACTTTGATACTGGCAAATCAAGGTCCCATAGATATAACGAGCTGTAAATGCTCTGATACGTGAATTTCTCTTTGTACTGTTTGCCTTTAGGCGTTGCTCGCTGGTTTGACACTGGTGATACTAGGTCATCAAGAAGGCTGTCTCTGATGTAGGCCAATTAGTTTCAAAGACGATGCATAACATTATCAGTACGTTTTACCACAAAGTACGTGTGGTTAATTCCGGCTTGATTCCTTGCAAAAGTATATCTGGTATTTGGACATCTATAATATCTGTTGTATTACCTATTATACTGGTAGGAAACGTAGTGGACTGGAAGCCCAACCGGGATTAATTCACAGGAGGCAGGGGATTAATTGTGTATGTCTGTGGATGTCTGTCCACGTGTATCCGGACACCCGGATAAAATGGGAGGGGTGGGGCTGGGTGGAGAGGGGAGGGTGGGGAGGGGCTGGGTGGGGAGGGGCTGGGTGGGGAGGGGCTGGGTGGGGAGGGTGGGGCTGGGAGGGGTGAGGCTGGGTGGGGAGGGGCTGGTCACCCCGTGGTGCCCTTATAAAACTCAACGTTTAACCGACTCACGCCGGCTTGTGCCCGCCCTCACAGTCGGGCATATTTGCGGAATACACCACGTGGTGCCGCCGTTGACCCTGGCCACTGACCGAGCAACCCAACGTTCCTACCAGCTCCCTCCGCAGGAATGTGTTTTTTCATACTTCGACTACCAAATAAAAAGTCCCGTATATATTACTGACCCCTGTCTCGGCTGGGAGTGCGCAATCATGCAAGCCTGCACGTTGCCAAGTTACTTTTCATTCTCTCTGGGTCTTTTGTGACTTTACCGAAAGACCCAAAGAGTATGAATTCCTGCAGTCACGAAAGCTTTAAGTCAAGATTTACTTTTCATTGTCGAGTTCAGCTTTCCTAAAGCACTCCAACCCGCACTCCAACCCGCACTCGTCCACGATTCTACGTCAAAATGTTGACGCATTGATGTTCTCCATCCGTTGTACCCCCATGCAGATCGCTGTTTAACAAACGTAACACAGACATCTCTTGTGTTTTCCCAATTGCCCCGAGTACAAATTTGTCGAGTTAAGTTTGAATATGTCCTGCAGTTTCATTCCCACTGGGACGTTTTTCACGCCGTGCATAGCCACCTGCGAACCGTAGGTGCGCTGGAAGGACGAGCTAAAAAAAAGTTCTCAACAAATGAGTTTTAAATCTAGGTGTTGTAATCAACTATGGGTTATGGTTTTTTCCGCAACTCCGCCTCCCACGGTTGGCTACGTACAGTGCTAACGAAGTTCAACATGTGGACCATATAAGTTATCTTTAGTAGTTAGCGCCCTGTGCTACGAAAGCCAAAATCTGTGACAAATGTCTGAACCGGTCCTGGGCCTCCCCAAGGTGGGGGATCAATGCATGCATTGTGTTTGTTTGCATGTTTTGCCACAACTATGTGTGGTTGATGTAGACTTGATGCCTTGTAATAGGTGTCTATTTGGTGTTTGAACATCTTAACATCTGTATGATTGCCAGAAATGGTAAAGCCTTTTATTTTTTTGTAATTTTGATACTGGCAAAAAGGTCCCATAGATATTACTGCTAAATCCAGCTATTAATGCTTTGATATTTGCATTCCCTTTGTATCGTTCGCCTTTTGGCGTTCCCTAGTCTAACACTGATGAGACAAGGCCATCAACAAGACTCTCTCTGGTGTAAGCCATTCAGTTGCAAAGACAATGCATACATAATTATCATAGTACGTTTGCATTTTGTTCCACACGCATCTGGTAATTGCAGACTTGCCTTGAAATAGGTGTCTCTTTGGTGTTTGAACATCTTAACACCTGCATTCTTTCCAGAAAGGGTGAAGCTGATTCTTTTTCCATCATGCAGGGATCTTTGTTGTTGTGCGGTCTACAGGGACCAGCCCACATCCCCGTAAGACCCGGTTCCCATGGGGCAGCCGTGGGAGCCGCAGCGCCGGCAGGCCGCGGGGGCCCAGGTGGCGCTGCTCTTGGTGCTCGCGCTGGCGCTGGGGGGCGTCGGCGGCGCCGTGGTCCGCTCCCCCGTGCTCTGCCTCGCGGGCCTGGCGCTGGCGGTGGCGCTCACCCACGCGCTGCTGCTGCTGCTGTTCCTGTGCGTCGCCTCCCGCCGCCGCCACGCGTCCCGCAGGGCCACGCTGACCGCCAAGGTGCCGCTGTCATTTCGACGTGGTTACGAGGGGTGGTGACACGGCCCATCATGGCTTCTCCCCCTAGCCTCTGACCAAATCGCCCTCAATGCACCTCGTCTTAGCAGATCTTAAACGCTAAGCAAGTACAAGGCTGGTTAGTATTTAGATGTATAATTATCAGGGCTTGCCATCAGTGTTCTGAGGAGATGGAAGTTTAGAGTATTTGGCTGCTATGAATTTCCACATAAGCCTCTTCTTTGAGCTATCCATTTGTGGCCAGGTCACTTCTGAAAAGGGGCTAAAAAACACAAGTGGGCCTTGGTAAAATAAAAAAGTTTAGTAAGTGCTGAGTGTCACCACCCTTCAATGCATTGGCTTTTCTCCAGGTTCTCAGGTTTTCTTTCATACTCAATGGAATTGGCCAAACATTCCAACGAAGGGTTAAGCTTTTCTGAGTAATTTGAATGGTTTTATTTTTTGTTGATTATCATGGGACATCGTGTTTCTCCTAGGTGCGAGTGGCGGTGAAGAGCTGTGCGTACCTCGCACTCTCTTGCCTGTTCTTCCATGCGGTCACCGTTCTCTTTGGAGCACCAGTCATTCAGTAAGCACCTCGGCCACAAAGCACACTCACTGCTTGAATGGTAATAACGCTCACATAATTTAGCGCATTTGGCATGTACGCCATTCTCATCGCACAAGGCTTTCGCAAAAGAAGGCATGATGTATGATACAGTCTAGAGTAGTTTTGCCGTATGGAGCGATGTTACCATGTGTAATTTCAATTGAGTAATTTTTTGGCGTAACTTTTCAATCTTTGGCAAATTTTGACAGTGACTCCGGCACACAATGGCCTAATTTTTCATGATGTCAGATAAATTTTACTTCCACCGTGAAGCAGATGGTCCGTACTGTTATGCTTAATACACCCGTGGTATTAATCAGGGCGGTCGATTAATTCGTACTGTGAACCTTTGGAACAAGCGACGAACGCACTGCCGTGAGGAGCCCTGTCACTTAATCTGGCAGGATTCTAGCTCCCGAGGATTAAAACGATAAACCTGTAACAAACAATTCTCTCAGAGCATGGCATTCGAGGAGGCTGAGGGATACTCAAAATGGGTCGTTCAGGCACATGTGACAGCACTGCACTGAGAAGTCCCAGTGGGGGCTCAAACCAGTAACGAGTTTCTGTGTTGTTTTGCCTACAAACAGTCTGGGCTCTCTTGAGCAAGTGCAAATTGCAAGGCTGTGTGCACCTCTGATTAGCACAGTTGGCTACGTATGGTGCGAAAGAAGTTCAACATTTATAACATACATGTGCACCGGAATGGTGACATAGTTAAGCCGTGCAGCACATGCAAGGGTTCATGTCGTGTGCTGCTGCTGCTGACGACGCACGCATCCTCACTGTTGCCCTGCTTCTCTGCATTTCTGATCCAGCCTGGCCCGGGAGACGTTCGTGTTCTCGATTTTGCTGACCACCTTCACAGCCCTGCCATGCCTCTGCATCCTCGGTCCCAACCTCTCCGCCTGGTTGCGCGTTTTCACCAGGAGTGGGTGAGCGATGAGTGTCGAGTTGGTCTGCACCACATTATCAATGAATGAATCGTGAATGAGCCCACGTGTACATTGCGCTCTCCCCGTCGTGTAACGAAACGTCTTTGGAACACAGATCCCCCAATTCCGAGCGCTGTCCCTGTGCGAGACGAGGTGACTCAACGCTTGATTTAACAGTGGGTCAGTATGGGGCGATGATTGCAATGCGAGTCATTTGTGGGTACGCTGAGCGGATGGGAGGTATCCTGGCAATGTTCCTGAAATGGAAAAAAAATCGACTCTTAACGATGTTATTAATGTGCTCCTCGAAGGTTATTGATGGATCGAGGAACACATCGAGATTCCTGATTTCCCGTGGAGGTTGTATGTTGTGGCTGCCGATCATGAGACGTAGCGGACCCGGCGTTTAGCAGTTGGAGGAGGCTTGTGCTGCATCCAAGCGGTGATAAGTGAAAGTGAGGACAAGAGAACACAGGGAATCAATTTCATTCAATTTCCAATGAATGTAAATGTCAGCGTCTTTAGCATAAGAGTGTAATTTGAGACCTAAATAATGAAAAGTGGTACCTAGTGGGGGCATGTAGGTACACAAAAGTGTAATTTGAGACCTAAATAATGAAAGGTGGTACCTAGCGGGGGCATGTAGGTACACAAAAGTGTAATTTGAGACCTAAATAATTAAAGGTGGTACCTAGCGGGGGCATGTAGGTACACAAAAGAAGTGGACCCAGGAACGGGCCCCGGGGGATGCATAATTAAACCTCCGGTTGTGGACTTAGAGCTACCCAGGCTAAGAAATTACTTGCGATTCGATAAATACGATCTAAGCCAGCATAGTGCAGCACCATTAACCGCCACAGCTATTTCCAAGAATTCAAGCAGAACACCATGGGCAAGAACAGCGCACAGGTCGAGTAGAACTGAAATGCTGCACGAACCAGTTTTGGCGGCAGTTGTTAAATCATCTTTATGTATGTTGAACTTCTTTCCCACCGTACGTAGCCAACCGTGCTCATTGGAGGTGCGGGGGAAGGACAACAAACTAAACACTCTCACCAAGGCCATAGCCTTGTTTGCAAGCCAGCGGCCGAGTCACTTTGTGTCCACAGGGGCATCTGCCACTGGAGGTGTCGTTAAAATGTTTAAGATTAAACGTAGGTTGTTCATCGCGTGTAGAGTGCTCTGAGATGCCCAGGCGAGAAAGGCGCTCTATCTAAGACATCTCGTGATGGCAGTATTCCCTCTATTCATGAACTAGCTATCCGCGATTTTGGATATCCGCGAATTTCATATGGAACTCTACAAAACTGAGATAAAAGTGATGAGATAAATACATGTTATTATGATAATGTTCACGTATTTAACAGCTTATTTAGGTATTTAAGGAAATTCGTATGTATGTTGAACTTCTTTTGCACCATACGTCGCCAACCGTGCTAATCATAGGTGCGGGATAGGTTTTCGTAGGCCGATATCATTATCCGCGAAACAGGCTATTCACGAGCATCTCTGGAACGTATCCCTCGCGAATAATGAGGGATTCCTGTTTTATAATTTGTGGTGCTACGAACTCAGTGACCTGATTTTGATTCTCGGCCATGTTTAGCTTTATTGACAAATGGTTTGAATACTAAGGGGGGGCCTTCATTCAACAATGGATTAAGAGAGGACTGTGAATGATTATAAACCATTTCCCGTTCCGAGACGTCTGCAAGTTGCAGGGTGGGTTTCCCGTTCATCGCTGAATCACGGGAAACGTGCAACCGGCTCACCGTTACTTTTATTTAGAGGCATAGCGCTATTGTTTTTAAGGACATTGTACTCACCGCAGAGAAATGGAGCAACACGACTTCCACACTCGATGATAGCTGTTGCAAAACTGTGCCACACGCTCTCCCGCATGGCCTTTGTGGGAGCCTGAGTACCGATAAAGTTTATTCATTAAAATGTTCTTCCGTTTTATTTTAATGATGTACACGTACGTCGTCAGAACGGAATCGGAAGAAAAACCGACGACGTACACCATCGGAACAGGAGAGGGTGAATGAGTATTGCTCGTGACATGTAACTGGTTGTTTGCAGGGCGGTGTCTGTCTGGGAGCAGGGCCTGTGTGTGGGCACCATGTGCACACTGATGGGCGCGTGGCTTGGAGCCCTGCCCATCCCCCTGGACTGGGACCGGCCCTGGCAGGTCTGCCCCAAGTTCTCTCACTGGGGCTCCCATCACAATTATTCACTGCAATATGCACCGTCGAGTTATTGTTGTTGAGTTTTGCACGAGTCGAGTACTCCGACTGAAGAGCATTTCCCTGTGGGAGTAATGCAATCCAAAACCAAACAAAGATTTACAGGGAAAGATAGTGGCTTAAGATTTGAAGGGCATGGTAATAAAGTGATATTTTTTAAAGATCCTTACGCAGTAACAGCATTAGCGATAGGTGTTATAGGACGGTGACAGATTTTGTAACGGATTTGATTATTATTCGAATTAGCCGAGCTAATGGGCTTAACAGTGTGGATTTGAGTACTCTGCATATATGGCTCCCAGAGACAGACTTAGCAGCAGTGACCATTGTTGCTCATCCTGTGCGGATGAGTTATTATAATGAAACCTGTCTATAAGTATCTATCTCTATATCACTGTTGCCTATCAGTCACATTTGCATGAATTTAGTTTGGTGACCTAAGGCAAGAGAACCACAATGCAGTTCTTCATAAACTGCTGAGGGTTTCTGCATAATGCACAAAGGCTGTGTGCATTTCACATCTTTGTACGTGTTTTTTTTACTTAAACTCATGGTTTTCTGGCCTGCACAATTGTTTTCATGATCATTCGTTTCATCATTTACAAATTCGATCAATATGAGGGAGCAAGAGCGCGCTCCCCTTCAGCACGGCCGTGCTCGCTGGCCCTGTGGCGCAGTTGTCTGGGAGGGTGCCGGTTGTGGGCCCCATTGAGAGCAACTCTCTGTATCTCCGCGTCGGTTTGCTGTGCAGGCCTGGCCCATCACCTGCTCCATGGGGGCTGTATGCGGTTACGCACTGGGCCTCCTGCTGTCGCTGCTGAGACTCGCCAGGAACGGACCCGCAGTGGGGCACAAGAAGAAGCCCTTGTGATGCCTACGTGTGCAGCGCCCAGCCTGGAAAGCAGCGTTTCTTAATTCCATTTCCATTGCGTGTTTATCGGGCGGCCGTATGCCCTGGGTCTCGAGTGCTGTGCACCTGGCCGGTGTTAAAGGGAATGATCGGTTCTGTAGGGAATCGCCAACACAGCTTTCTACGAAACACATTCGTCAACACCACGGTCTTAAAAGGAAAAATACATGAGGTGACATTTTGAGCAATGACCCTTCTTCACAGCAGATAAATGCTATAAATTGATGTGCTATATAAAGACCGGAAACAAAAACAATTTTGTTTTTTTCCCTTTTAAGGCCACGTTTTCTTCATGATTATGTTGAATTTTGTGTTTTAGGCATAAAAAAATAACACTTAGTACCCAAGAACAAATGTTGTGTTACATAGTGTAATTAATGAGATTGTGCGAAAAACACCATTTGACATGTTATTGCTAATTTAGCAATATTAAAAAAAATCTCTACAAGTCCATCATCTCCAGTGTTAATTTCTCTCTCAGCTAATGAAGAAAAAAAAGATTGACATTGACTCTGCCTCTTTGTAACTACAGTGTTGCCTATCCTTGCTATATACATATATATTATTCCAGTAGATATCTGTTACATTTTTTTTATCAGACAACAAAAACGTGGTAAAAACAATTGTAGGCCCTTTAGTTTTCGTAGACCCCTAGACACAGTGCTTACTGTTGCCTATTGGATAACACGGCCCTGGTGAGTGGGTGAGTGAGTAGGCCCTGGACACTGCTTACTGTGGCCTATTGGATAACACGGCCCCTGATCTCAGGGATGATGGCACTGCGGTTTTCCCTTGTAAAAGGATGGACAGCGACCGCTCGTTGACAACCCCACACTCGGCCACGAACAACATCAACACGCCGTGAACTATATAGCAGCGACGCTGTGCCGTGACGTAAGGTTATCCGACTCGAGCTCCTTGTGATATCGTTTCAGCGGCGTCCTCCGCTCGCTGTTCTCCCCGGCTGGCCCTGAGCAGTTTGCGTGATCGGCGCGCCCTGCGCTAGCCGGGTGAACAGAGCCACCAACGTGAGCACGAGGTGGCAGCAGGCCCGTGGTGTGGAGTTGATCAGACAAGGACTCCGGTGACAATGTCACTTAGTTTACAACTTCCGTGTCAAGCCACTGCTGCGTGGATGAAGGCATCCTGAGACGAATCCGCACGTTTGTTTTTACTTACCGGGCTTGTGCGTCCAATTCGGTTACCGGTAATGCAATAAAACGACGTTAACGCCTCGAATGAATACCCAGAGGCTTGCACAGACACATTGAGACCCATACACTTTCACAGAGAAGCATTGAATTGCGAATAGGGGCCGTCTATAAATGACGTCACGCACGGGGGGGGGGGGTCAGACATTTGTGAAGATGTGTGACGAGGGGGGGGGAGGTTTGAGAAATGTGACGTCACATCACAATGCACAACTTTAAATAAATATAGAATTGTTCGAACAACACTAATTGTTATAACAACACTCCTACAACATCAGAGTGCAGCGCCACATTAAACACGCACTACAATGACAATAGTTTAAAGCGATTTGAAGCATGTTTTATTTTGGGGGGGGGGGCAGAGCTTTGTGACGTCATATTTGAGGGGGGTCTGACTTATTGTGACGCCGTGTGACGAGGGGGGGTGGGTCAAAAATCGTCCAAAATCGCGTGACGTCATTTATGGACAGACTCTTAGGATTACATAGATACCGATATGCTTACATAGATACCCATGGGCTTATATAGAGATCCATAGACATATACAGACCCATATAGGATTACATAAAGACCCATATGCGTATACGCTATACAGGTCCAAACGCTTAAATATAGACCCATATGCTTACACAGAGACCCATATGCCTACATAGAGACCCATATGCTTACACAGACCCATATGCTTACACAGACCCATATGCTTACACAGACCTATATGCTTACACAGAGACCCATATGCTTACACAGACCAATATGCTTAAACAGAGACCCATAAGCGTACACAGAGACCCATATGTTTACACATAGACCCATATGCTTACACAGAAACCCATATGCTTACACAGAGACCCATATGGTTACACAGAGACCCATATACTTACACAGAGACCCATATGCTTACACAGAGACCCATATGCTTACACAGAGACCCATATGCTTACACAGAGACCCATATGCTTACACAGAGACCCATATACTTACACAGAGACCCATATGGTTACACAGAGACCCATATGCTTACACAGACCCATATACTTACACAGAGACCCATATGTTTACGCATAGACCCATATGCTTACACAGACCCATATGCTTACACAGACCCATATGCTTACACAGACCTATATGCTTACACAGAGACCCATATGCTTACACAGACCAATATGCTTAAACAGAGACCCATAAGCGTACACAGAGACCCATATGTTTACACATAGACCCATATGCTTACACAGAAACCCATATGCTTACACAGAGACCCATATGGTTACACAGAGACCCATATACTTACACAGAGACCCATATGCTTACACAGAGACCCATATGCTTACACAGAGACCCATATGCTTACACAGAGACCCATATGCTTACACAGAGACCCATATACTTACACAGAGACCCATATGGTTACACAGAGACCCATATGCTTACACAGACCCATATACTTACACAGAGACCCATATGCTTACACAGAGACCCATATGCTTACACAGAGACCCATATGCTTACACAGAGACCCATATGCTTACACAGAGACCCATATACTTACACAGAGACCCATATGGTTACACAGAGACCCATATGCTTACACAGACCCATATACTTACACAGAGACCCATATGTTTACGCATAGACCCATATGCTTACACAGAGACCCATATGTTTACGCATAGACCCATATGCTTACACAGAGACCCATATGCTTACACAGAGACCCATATACTTACACAGAGACCCATATGGTTACACAGAGACCCATATGCTTACACAGAGACCCATATACTTACACAGAGACCCATATGTTTACGCATAGACCCATATGCTTACACAGAGACCCATATACTTACACAGAGACCCATATGTTTACGCATAGACCCATATGCTTACACAGAGACCCATATGCTCACACAGAGACCCATATGCTTACACAGAGACCCATATGGTCACACAGAGACCCATATGCTTACCCAGAGACCCATATGTTTACGCATAGACCCATATGCTTACACAGAGACCCATATACTTACACAGAGACCCATATGTTTACGCATAGACCCATATGCTTACACAGAGACCCATATGCTCACACAGAGACCCATATGTTTACGCATAGACCCATATGCTTACACAGAGACCCATATGCTCACACAGAGACCCATATGCTTACACAGAGACCCATATGGTCACACAGAGACCCATATGCTTACCCAGAGACCCATATGTTTACGCATAGACCCATATGCTTACACAGAGACCCATATACTTACACAGAGACCCATATGTTTACGCATAGACCCATATGCTTACACAGAGACCCATATGCTCACACAGAGACCCATATGCTTACACAGAGACCCATATGGTCACACAGAGACCCATATGCTTACACAGAGACCCATATGGTCACACAGAGACCCATATGCTTACACAGAAACCCATATGGTCACACAGAGACCCATATGCTTACACAGAGACCCATATGTTAACACATACCCCATAAACTGCATCGGCAGCACCTGACCACACTAAACGACCTTCAAGTAGCCGCGTGGCGCTGGGGGGATTTCGTCAAGCAGAGTGGCGCAGCGGAAGCGTGCTGGGCCCATAACCCAGAGGTCGATGGATCGAAACCATCCTCTGCTAGCAGTTATTTTTCATTTTTTTTAGTATATATATTTTTTACAGTTGTCATTATTTGCTGAAGAATATTTGGACTAAAACATTTTATTTTGGGAATTAACAAAAAACACAGGTTTGGTAGACGTGTACGATGTGTGCACACGGTGTAGTTGTGGCTTTTCGTAACGAATTGGCACCTTCTGTTTACGTGATAAACCTTAATCGTTTTGCTATGGAGGGTTGAACGACACATTTTTTATATTTACGCGATCTAACCACCCCCCCCCAAAAAAAAAAACCCTGTATTCTGGATGATATTGGTCACGAAAGCCCTCCGATGTGTTAAACTGCGCGTATGTATCATGAACACGGTCGCATTCCGTACAGCTCGAGTTTGGCTGTTCCAATGAACGTGCACGGCCCCATTGTAGCCGCCAGAGGGCAGTGGCCCCGTCACTCACACGGCCAGCAGAGGCGGCGGCGATGATTAACAACGAGGCACGAACGATCGGATACTCCGCATCGAAATCGTGCTCGTTCAGAACCTATTACTGAACGTTCATATAACGGTGTGTGCCGTGAAGAAAGGACATTGCCCGAAACGTCGACTGCTATGCTTTAGTTTAACACGCAGGCTTTCGCGACCAATATCCATCGTAGAGTTTTTGTTGTTGTTGTTGTGGCTTGGCACGTTCTGTTTACGTGACAACCCTTACTAGTTGGCTGTGTCGGGTGGTGGCGGGTTTTTATATATATTTTATATATCTACGCGATCTAATTTAGCAAAAAAAACCCCTCTATTATGGATGCTATCTTTTATTTTAAGACCACTCACACGAAGTGTTATTCGTGAACGTGTTGAGTTTATATCATTTGACCTTTTTTTGCCAGTTTCAAAGTATGAAAAATAAGAATAGGTTTTACACTTTCTGGCAACACAACGGGTATTCTTGGTTCTTTCGGTAAAGTCACCACGTAGAAGGGAAACAATAAAATAACAAAAATATAAAACAATAAAATTCTCACGACGTTTCGACTGCAACACAAGCAATCATCATCAGGTGTAAAAACCACAGCAAGAACAATTTGAAAAAAGTGGCGGTGGTTTTCACACCTGATGATGATTGCTTCTTGTGTTGCAGTCGAAACGTCGTGAGAATTTGATTGTTTTATATTTTTGTTATTTTATTGTTTCCCTTCTACGTGGTGACTTTACCGAAAGAACCAAGAATATGAATCCCTGCAGTCACGAAAGCTTGAAATAGAAATTCATGAATAATATTGGTCGCGAAAGCCTACGTGTTTAATTGAAATAGAAATGTACCACAACAAGTGTTAAGATGTTCAGACACCAGGCCGATACATTTTTGCAAGGAATCAAGTCTGGAGAAAATGCAAACAAACATGCTCGGATAATTCTATATGCATTGTCTTTGAAACTGATGAACTGTGGTGCTGAGTTTGGTTTCGTTAATTGTGTTTGTGCTGCCGTAATCTCGTTTAGAGCCGAGCTATCCGATTATTTCCATGTAATCGATTATTTTACTGATTATCACTTCGATATTTCTTAAACCGACTAACCAGATCACACAAAAAAAGAGTAATTTGGGGGAGATAAGAAAGTGCGTGTTATTGATGGGTGACCGGGCTAAAAGCCATCAGATCACTACACTTGAGAGAGTCCCGTTTAAACATTGGGTGGCTGAAACCTGGGTTCAAACCCAGGTCCGTAGTGGCCTCTGC